CCCCCCCCTCACCCTCTCTTCTCTCTCCACCCTTTCTCTTCCCCCTCCTCTCTCTCAAAATAAAAAAAAATTAAGAACAGAGTTATCATATGACCCATCAATCCCTCTTTTGAGTAGCTACCCAAAAAACTTGAAACCATTTATTCACAAAGATACAGCCTTTAGGGGTTTCTCATTGCAATTGGGAAAAAGATAAAATGAGTTTCTATTGTTTTGCATGATTCTGGTCCTCTATCTTCTTTCCTTATCTTTGGTTTACTTTCTTGCATAGGGCTGAACAATACCACTAACCCGGTGACAAGAAGTTTGACCTGTCGAAGGCTAAAAAGAAGTCTGTTGTAGCTATAGTATCTGATGGAATCTCCTGGTTCATTTGATCTATAATGCCCTCTTCTTCTAGTTCTTGAGCTCATCAACCTTATTCCCGCTCTGAGAGTTTTTACTTTTTCCTTTGATAGACATGTTCTCCCAGACTTTTTCTATGGCTGAGGTGTTTTTATTTGTGACATCTCAACTCGTTGCAATTCTCCAGAGAGCTTTCTTGACTATCCTCTCTGAAAAATTTCTCCTCCACTATTCTTTTCCTTCATTTCTTCCTTCTTATTTCCTACATAGCATGTATCACCATCAGAAATGAATTGTTTATTGTCTATCTTGCAGACTTTCTTACCCTCAACCTCCCCTTGCCATGATGCAAATTCAGGAGAGACTGATGTCTGATTTGTCCAACTCTGTCTCCCCAGTATCTAGAACAGTGCCTGGAATAAAGTGCATTTAGTAAATATTAGCTGAATAATAGAAAAAAGAATAAATAAGAGACTATAAAAATCAAATAAGTGCTTAATACACGAAGAGAAATCTGCTTCACTGGCTTAGAACAACTAAGACACACAAGGAACCAAGTGGGTGGATCTGAATCCAGTCATTTGTTCCACTTGAGTCTTTTAGTTTGATTTGGGGCACATTTCTTAACCCGTGTCTATTTCTTTATTTGCAAAATAGGTATATAAAGCTCATGGGGGAAAATGGTTGAATAATTCAGTGAATTATTTGCCAAGTATGACTTAGAGTATTCATAGGTATATTTTGTGTGTGATTTGTAAAGTAATCTAGTTACTGTTGCCTAAAATTAGCTACAAAGTAGACTTCTAAGGTTATACACTAAATGCGAGCATGATACTCACATTCCAGAGACCATCTTGTTCCTTAGACATGTCTGCTTTACCAAGTTGGACATGCAATTTAATTTGATAAGGTTGGAATCTAATCTGTAAGAATTGGGATATTTCAAGGGAGGAAGAACAACTGTGTTTGTTGGGACAGCAGAGTGTAGTTTGGGCTGCAGTAGTCTGCTACGGCTCCGCTTCTCTGCTCATTAAATTCCAGCATATATTGGTTTGGGGGAGCTCTGAGCTAATATCTTTTTCTTTGAGTTTAATAATTGTAGAATTTATGACACACTGTCCCTTCCAAGGAGTTTGTAGTCTTTCACAAGCTTTATTTACTCAAAATTTATGTTGCGTAGTAGAAAGAATAGACATTTCTAGTCTAAAATAATGTAGAAGCTGAAATCCCTGGTAGGGATTAAATATACTCAGGAACGAATTTGGTAACTGAACTTGCCAGTTATAATTTGAAGCCTAATGAACTTTTCAGTGAATATTGATACCAATCATACTATGATTAAAAAATATTAATCTTAATACAAAAATCATTACTTACCAAATAGCTGTTGTATTGTGTCTATGATGTACAAGGAATTTTTTTTGAGAAATTTTGCCTTCCTTTAATGTAGGTTCCTGCACTAAAGAACCCTGCAATCTTATTCACATCTTTAACACTATTGTTAAAGAAGCATGGGAACTAGTTTGCCTCAAGTTCAATAAATTAAATTGCCTGGCATGATACAGATAATCTCTGATAGAGCTGTGGCTAAAACCTAAGCCTGTTGAAAATCAACAACATTCCCTGCCTTTGGTAGCATTCTTTTTATTACACAGTGTTTGCCTACACCTTTATTTTTCTCTCTTTCCATGTTGTGAGTCTTAATGCTTTATATTTGTTGAAAATAGTTTAAAAGGTCATGTGAAGGAAATAATTCTTTATATACCTTTCTACATTCTGTATAAGCCCACATGAAGTCTTCCTTGTATCTTTGGCATCAGTAGAAAAAATAAATAACTTGCAGGGAAATGTTAAGATTAATGTTTATTTTTATATTTACAACATATGGGGAATTTAAAGACAATTATTATGGTATATTACATTGGAAAATAAATATTCAATTTTTTAATGTTAGATGAAGCTGTAAAAGCAGGTAGCTAGTACCAAATGTGTATGTGTGTAATGGTTAATCTTCTAGTTGTGAAGGTAGTTTTTGCAAATTACCTCCTTTGTTTGGAGCATGGCACTAATAATCCCACTGTTGGATAATACAGGGCACATTTTTCAACTACCTTGTTATCCCATACATGTCTCTTAATATTTGGCATCTGCCTACTTTTGTACCTTCCTGTATTACTATTTGCCTCCACTCTTAATTTACTCCTTTTCTTTCTTTTTACTTTTTAATCCTCTCTCTATGATATGTTTTTATTGATTTTAGAGAGAGAGGAAGGGGAAGGGAGGGAGGGAGGGAGAGAGAGACAGACAGACATCTATGTGAAAGTGAAACATTAATTAATTGGTTGCCTTCCATACACACCCTAACTAGGGACAAAATCTGCAACCTAGGTATGTGCCCTGACCAGGAATCGAACCTGCAACATTTGGGGGTTGGGACAATGCCCCAGCCAACTTAGCCACCTGGCCAGGGCTCAAGCTGTTCTTACCTATTTAATGTTTTCTGTGTATAGCAGTGAGTCTTACAAGTAAGCTTTGGACACCTTTTCTTTCTCTGATACATACCTTGCATATACCTATCTAGAGATTGTTTCTCTTTAACAATAGAAAGAACTCAGTCAGAATAGACTTTAAAAAAATAGTCATGTTCCCAGGACCTACCTTAAGGTATCTTTGGTAGATGGGTGGATTTAAATAACAATACGGCTAAGAAGAGAGGTGTGAACTATATGAAAGACTGGTTCCTTATGCATAGCTTCTCTCCGTGGTCCATAAGCACAGCATTGGTTTTTCCTTAACTTATTATCCTGTAGTGCTTGCCTCCTTGAAGTCTGGAAGAAAACAAATATATGATGCACACATCAATTATTAGAGGAAAACAGTACTATTCAATAGTGTTTCTTAATTACAATGAATAAATAGTTTGTTTGATGAACTTACTTGTCCCTCCAAAGATTATAATCTACTAAAAATCACAGTTGGGTATTTAAACTGTGGGATTGTTTAGAACCATGGCAATTAGGGAAGTGAAAACAGTTCTTACAATTAAGCAAAACAATTGTCATATCCCAAGTCTACAAAAAGTGACCTTTTTCTCTCTATAAAAGGTGCAGGAAATATACCCAAGGAGATTGTCTATAATTATACCATTCTTTAAATTTTCTGAAGTCCAACAAATAGCATATTATATTTTGCCAAAGGTAAATTAGAGATTTGCACTGTCTAGTCACTATTTAAGAGGTTACATTTTGGTGCCTTAGTGCCTTATATAAATTCATTATTATGGAATCTAGAGGACAAACTGTACATGGAGGGGTAAAGCAATTCTATTAAGCAGTTCTTCATATTTTGGTTAAACCCCAGTCAGAGCTCTGTTCTCCTTTAGTGCTTTGCTAGTAATTCTGCAGCTTCAGAGTGATGGCTGTTGAATTATAGGAGTAGTAGCATCATCAGACAGTCTTAACATTTGCAAGCAAAAGTTAATTGAAAATTTGAGGCTTATCCAGAGGTTTAAAAAATATTTTATCTTAGTTTTATTTAATACATGCATATTTATTTAGCTTCTTAATACATGTTGTTTCCAACCAAGTAAATCTATTTTCATAACAGATTATTTAAGAGATTTGGCTTATTTTTCTTTTTTGGTGAATGTGCCAAGTGTCTGTTTTCTATAAGACATGTGTCTGTTTCAACTTACTGTTTCATATGAGTAGTTTATTATCCAGATAGACCTTCAGAAATAGAATATTTGCTTAAGAGTTCTTATATATATGGTTGAGTACATAGTTTAGAATGATTTGGGGTTTATAAATAGCATGTAAGATAATATTGGGAACATGTTAAGTATAACATATAATGCTTAAAAAAAGGAAAGGAGAAAAAGGATGATAATATTCCAAGCATCTCCAATAAGGAAGCGAGTGGGTAGAACATCTTCAAATACTGATTTGGCTTCCCTCAGAATAGTGTTAATGTCTTTGTATTTAGCCGACTGACGTTCCAGCCTTTACATTACCCGCTTACGTTTGTCCAGTCTCCCAAGTTTTATTAGTTTTTACAAATACTGCCTTGAGATTCCAACTGACTTCCACACATTGACTTGTACCTTTCCACATTATGGGTGTGAATTTCCTGGGGGGCAGTTCTTTTATGTCTGGAATTCCTCAGAGTTTCCATCTGCTTTTACTTGACTTGTGGTCTTGAAGATCATGCTTGGCCCATGAGATGTTACAGTGTGCCGAGAGGATGTAGAGTTTTGTCAGCCAGTGAAATATGTCTGGGTTTTTTTTTTCTTTCTTTCTTTTTTTCAGAAGCTTTCATACACTCCTCATCCTGTGTGGTCTTCACTTAACTGAATTTATATTTAACAGAACTACTCACTCTCTTTATCATCTTCTATGACTTGGTCTTTTTTAAGGAGAGGTGTGTGGAAGGAACATCTGGCCAAAAAAACTATAGTCTTGGTAATACGAAAACTTGAACCCCAAAGCTTAAAGGACTGCTATATATGAATATGCTTTAATATTCACAAATGTGTATTTTCTAATATGGAAGAGGATCATATTTCACATATGTATGACTCTCAAAAAATTCTCACGCCAACAGTGGACTCCAAGTTTGTCTATGATCCAAATGACTCTTTTTTTGTTTGTTTTTAGGCACTACTACAGTCTTCAGTTAAGCAACAAGTAGAAGCTATTGAAAAACAGTACATTTCTGCAATTGAGAAACAAGCACACAAGTGTGAAGAGTTGCTAAATGCTCAGGTAAAAAAACTGCACATCCATTATATATTTATACTTTTCTTCTGCCTCTCCTCCCCTGAGAGCTTTATAACTATTTATTCAGTTTCGTACCATTTACTTTCCATGGTGTATTTTGGAGAAAAAAATATGCTTATGTAAACTCAATGTTAAAGTTTGGGAATTTTATGATAGACTAAAAATAGGGCTGAAGGGCTAAAATGTGTAGGACGTCCTCAAATTAATAATTCTTATGTTAATTTCTGGGTTATAGCATTATTATATTAACCAAATAAGAGAAGCAAATAGAGTACTATAAATGTGTTGTAGCATGTGTAATCATTTTAATGCTGTAAGGCTTATAAATAATTTTTTAATTTCTAGAAGTATTTATGCTTGAGTTACCTTTTGTTGCATATTTGGCATTGATTTCTATTTGAGTTTTTCCACTGAATTTTTAAATTTTCTTTGATTTAATGTCTTAAAGGCATTAAAGAGATGACTAGCTGATTTACAGTAAACCATCAGTTAAAGAGCATTTATGGATGTGTCATAGTGTAAATAATAATGCAGGAAATTCTCAGCAACACTCTGAATAACAAAACTTGGTAGGTGAAAATAAAATCAATTTTATTTAAAGGACCTATTTTGTATCATGGGAAGAAAATAAACTGAGAATTAGGAATAGAATTTATGTGTTTATTTATTTTTCGAGCTAGGGGAAGAGAGGGAGAAGGAAAGAAATACCAGTGTGTGAGAGAAACACTATTTGGTTACCACTCGCATGCCCCCAACTGGGGACCTGGGCTGCAACCCAGGCACGTGCCCTGACTGGGAATCAAACCACGACCCTTTGGTTCACAGGCCAGCACTCAGTCCACTGAGCCACACCAGCCAGGGCATTGAGTGGAGATTTATAAATATGCCATTGCATCCCCAAGATAGGGGACAGTTCTATTCAATTTTTCAATGTCCTTTTGATAAGTGATTTGAAAGAGGAAATGCCCAAGGAATTTTATAAATTTGATCTAACAAACTCTTTTGGGTGGTGAACTACTAGGTTGTTTCAGGTATAAAGTTGTGTGACTTTATAACAGAAAAATGACAGAGAAAAATTAAGGTCCTAGAACTGTGAAAACCGTATAAGGTATGTATTAGCCCAGGACAAGGTTAGGTTATGCCCTGAACTCCCTGGGTTCAGATATCAATATTTATATCTCATTCATGCCAAACATACACTGAGGATCATCTTGGGGCTTGGTCTTATATTGTCCTAAGCCTAGAAAATCGCCTGATGGTGTCATTCCTACGTAAAACATGACCTGTATTAGTGCATTACTATGCAGTAATACTGCATAGTGAAAACAAGCCCAGTCAGATTTCCTACCAGTAATTCAATATTCTGGACTAGAAATGACACTTCCATTCCCAGTTTATATTCACAATGCCTCTTCCCTTCCCCCTGGCATAATGGGGCCAACTAGTGAGATCCTACCAGGAACCTAGAAGGGAGAGAGCAGGAAATATTTGATAAACAGCACTAATCCACCACAGTTCTGCCCTTTTGATCACAAAATACTCAGCCTCTATTTCACAGGCAAATTTGCTTATCCTGTTGCTGTGAGTGAAAATCTGAAAGATCTAGCCAGCCACTGCCTCACACTCAAAAGTCCAGATTTCCGGATGATAGGTGGTGAGTGAGGTACTGCAATTTCTACATTATCAAGTCCAGATATATAGTTCTTTTTGACCTAAAGAACTAGAAACTAAAATATACGTTGTTTACCTACAGCAAATCTAGTATACAGTGGTGAGGCAAAGGTAGGGTATGTAATCACTCAGTAGCAAATATTAAAAATCAGAGATGCATAGCTATCACTAGTATGTAGCAATTCTAAAATTTCAATGGACAGATTAAATGAGAATCTCTGCCATAGCGATAGGATTGCTCTTTGATTTTCCATGATTTTCTTTTCAGGGTTTAGGAACAGGGTCTCTAGTCCATTGTTTTTTATGATCTTGTAGGTTTTAAATTTTTTAGTGTCTTTGTCGGCTATATCTAATGTAGTATTAGAGAATATGCTATTTTTCTGTCTGCTTTCTGTCTACAGAAAATTGGGAGCCATGGGTCATTTTAGATAGCAAATCGTCACAGTTCTGGGGAATGGATCTTTTAGCTTCTTATTTAGCTTGTTATCTATTTGATTACAATTAGCTTCATTTAGCAAAGGCAAACCAAAACCACAGCTATTTCAGAGACCTGCTCCCCAGATCAGATGTGTTTATGTGCTTTCCGCCGTCCTGCTTGTCTGTCCATGTCTCTCTCTTTTCCTGGTTAAAAATAACTTCATTATCAAACCTGGTTTAAAGAAATCCCAATGATCCCTTTTCCCCAAACTGTTTAGTCCAAATGAAAGTATAAATAGTACACACAATCATAGCCTTATTGTGTCTTTGCTTGGAAACACTTTCACCGATTGAGTTAACAATGAGTATGGCTAACATACACTTGAGTTTTTTTCTTTATTTTTATTGTTGACACTTTCACAGATGTCCCCCTTCTCCCCCATTTTGCCTTCCTCTACCCAGCACCCCCTTCCTTCCGTCTGGCCATCTTCACATCATTGCCTGTGTCTGTGTGTGACCTGTACATCCTCTTTGGCTAATTCCTTCACTTTCTTTCATCTAGTCCCACCCTCCCCCTTCCCTCTGAGGCCTATCAGTCTGTTCATATATCCATGCCTCTGTTTCTATTTGGTTCATCAGTTTATTTTGTTCATTAAATTCCACATATGAGTAAGATCATGTGGTATATTTCTTTCTCTGACTGGTTTATTTCACTTAGCACAATACTCTCCAGGTCTAACCGTGCTGTCACAAAAGGTAAGATTTCCTTCTTTTTATAGCTGCATAGTATACCATTGGCTTTAATACTTGCGGCAAAGATGAATTTAGTTGGTCTTTGTTCCTCCAAGGTTTTATCAATTGTTTCTTTTATTAATTGACCTTGGGAAGATGGTCATCTGTACAAATCTCAATTTTATGAACTTTTTCTATTACTTGTAATTTATTGCTTATAAATTATCTTTTTCTTGTGAAGTCAGTGCTAAACCTGTCACTTTTAAAAATACTCAATAATTTATTGTTAAATATAGCCAATACTAGAGCTAATAAATGAATTCAGCAAAGTTGTGGGTTAAAAGAGCAACATACAAAAATCAGTAGTGCTTCCATACACCTGCAATGAACCAATCGAAAAGGAAGTTAAGAAAGCAATTCAAATTAAAATAGCAACTTAAAGAATAAAATACATAGCAATAAATTTAACTAATAGGGTAAAAGACTTGTACACTGAAAACTACAAAACACTCCTGAAATAAATTAAAGATAACCGAAATAAATGGAAAGTCATCCCATATCCATCAATTAGAAATATTTGGTGGTGAACATTCAGGTCTACCACAGGACATTTAGAGGACCATAGGCAGCTTAGTATGATGAAATGCTATTAAAAAAACTGAACACTAAAAGGGGATATAGTTAATAAGTAAAACCATATAAAGTGTAGAAATTGTGATCCCTCGCTTTTTATTTTTTCAAATCATATTTTTTGAGATGCCTTTTGAAATAACAGCTGAATGGTTCCTTAGGAGTAATTTAGTTTGATGTATGTGTGTGTGTCTTTCTCCTTCATATTTTTAGTTCTCAAACTAATTTGTACTGATGGTTATGTACTAAGGTTCTTGATGTAGGGAGCTTATTCCCATTTTTTTCCAGTATGCACTATGCTGCAATGACTAAGCTAGCTCATATATTACCTCCCTTCTCCCTAATCTTTACTGAAGCACCCTGCCTCCCCGCAAAAGTTTTGATTTTCAGGTCTAAAGCATTAATGCATTCAACAAGAGAAAATGAGTTTCTCATTTCTTTAGCAAAGATGTCTAGAAGTTAATTAGATGGACATAACCTTTGTTATTATTATTAACAGTTCAAGGTCTTGTAATATATGTTTAAAAAATTCCATGTGTACCAATTTATAGATAATAAGCAATACAAGAAGATACTCAGATACTCATTCACTGAGCTTTTACTAACAAATTTTTAAACTTATAATTTGAGAAGTAAAACCTGTTAGGTTTTTGATGGTTTATTTTATGTATCAACTTTGCTAGCTGTGGTGTTCGTTTGGTCAAACTTTGGTCTAGATATTATTGTGAAAGTATTTTGTAGATTCTATTAACGTTTGTAATGAGTTGACTTTAAGGATGGACCTCATCCAATCAATTAAAGGCATTAAGAGCAAATACTGTGGTTTCCTGAAAAAATAAATCCTTTTTCAATATTCTAACATAGAAGTCCTGTCAATTTCTAGCCTGCCCTAAGGAATGGTGCTTGCTAGCTTCTACAATATCATGAGCTAATTTCTTCAAGTAAATTAATCTCAGTTTCTCTCTCTCCTACTTCCCTCTTTCCCTGTCTCCATGTATTCCACTGGTTCTGTTTCTGTGGAAAATCCTGTCTAATGTAGTCTGTAACATTTTATTTATTTTGCTCATCTTTGAGATTATTGTGACTTTTTAAGGATGCTTAAGAACTTTGTCATGCTTTTCTATACATACATATTCTATTTATCTACCAAGTTTTGGCTAACTTGTTATATAGTTACAGAAAAAGTGCAAGAAAGCTGAATTTGCATCTGTGACTCTCATCACTTCTGTTGCTTTAGGACATGCCAAATGCATATTTAAATGTTATGACATATTAATTTGTATATGTAGATATTGAGGAATTTTGGCTGTCTCCATTGTGTATATCCAAAAGTAAGTGCTATAATTACATCTAAATAGTCAAAGTTAGTTTTCTCATAAATTCAAACAGAATTCATTCAGTTATGATAATTAGGTTTTGGTAATCATTTTTCATACAGTTATATGGGTAATAGGTAAAAGGTAGGTATCACAATCCAAAGTTTGCAGGAATTAGTGATAGATATTTACTTGCTGCATTTTCTTTTTACTTAGTTA